ATTATGTTTTCAAATGTGTCTCTCTTCTGCTTTGATAACTGGGCGACAACATGCAGAGTTAAAAACTTTTCTGTTAAAATGTCTTACGATATATTTTTCATTCCGTTACCTTCCCTTTGGGTGTCCCCAGCATCAGCCTTGTGTTTTTGTTTACGTGTGTTGTAAACACTCCTGTATTGTGATTGTGTATTGTGTTGTTCTGGTCTTTGGCTCTGTTTGCCACATCCTTGGAGACCAGGCATTTCCCTGATGTATAAGATGAAAGACACGACAAAATGCCCCTCATTTGGTCCCAGTTGGTTAAGCGTGTTCTGATCACTGCCAAGGTCTGGATGAACATAAGCCACACAAAGGACCGTGCCTTGCAACCACACAAGCTCACAATAAAAAAGGGATTTGCCTCTGTTAGATGGCTTATATGCCAACCCCCAAAGGAGAGACTTGTTGGTGCCTTTACCGAGGAAATGTCTAACAAAAAACAATGTCAACTTTCTCTGAATTGATCCCAGAGTTCAAAGCTTTTCATCCTTCATTAAATCATACTTTACATGGGCAATTAATTTGGGGCAAATAGCCAAAGTTAAAGTTGCCTCCATTACTTCACAATTCAAAGATAATAGAAATAAGAGAAAAGGTTTAAGGTTAAACCTACATCATTGACCATAAGAGGTTGTAATTTCACTTAAAGGGAAATGCTATTATAAAATGTTTACCCGTCAGTTAAAAAGCTTAAATGTTTTAATTTCACATATAGATGTTTTAATCTTTATGAGTATCATTACACCTTGTTTGAACACAATTTTGATTTGTGTCTGTAATTACATATGGTATATACGAAGTATGCCCCTAGTGTTTAACATAAGGAAACACATCTATTTACAAATGGATAGAAACTCCACCGCAGCCCCACTCAAGGCCTTAAATGTGTGACACTTGCTGAGGTCATTTATTTTTTAAGTATACAGTTTTACAATCAACATAGTCAAGCAACTGAATCAAATAAAATATCCTGTTGGAAAATACACTAAATCCACCGAAAGTTAGCATGACATGTTAACTTATTGAGGCATTCAGTGCATTTGGTACGTCTAAAATTAGCTGCAAAAGTTCAAATTTTTCTTAATTTTCAGGGCAAATTCCTTACAGGAGATATGGAAAGAGAAGTTTTACAAACACATTGGACATCACTGAACTACGGTAAGCTATGTTGACAAGATAAATGCATCAATGGTTTAGCATGTCACTTGACTTCCGGAGCACTTCCTCTTAATGGCGTGGCGTGAAATGACCTTTTATACATCCATAGAAGCAAACGCCAAAGAAAGCCAAATGCAAAAAGGAAAAAAAGGTTGATACTTTTATACTATACTATATCACCTGCTATACTAGATTAAGTGAAAGCTATAGTCACCTGCCATCTGGGTTTGTTGTACACAGTTCTGGGAAGCTCTAGAAGCCTTTCTCTCAAAACTTGGTATACATTTGATAATATTATATTATGCTGTGATCCTTGCTGCAGAGATTCATACTTATCCACCTCAAAGCCTTCCATCTCATGTGTTATCCTCTGTGAAAGGTGACTCTTTGTATGTGATTGAACTATGTTAATTCATACTTCTTTTTTTTGTTCTTTTATCTTTCTGCTTAATGGTGAAAGTTCACTGTTCTGTTGAGTTTGTTGTTAATATATTATGATCTCATATTGTTTAATATTGCATTATTCTCTCATTTTCAACAATACAGTAACTGAGAATTATTGTTCATATGAAAGTATCATTATGCAGTGATACATAGTATAGTGAGGGTTTCTGCATTTTCTTTTCAATATTGAAATGGACTCGGTTATATTGCTATTCTGTTTTTTCTCTTATCTTTCTGCCCATTTTACATTTTTCCTGTCTCACCATCCTGTAGCGACTTTGTTCTTGCTCTTTGCTCCTTCCCTTTAATATCTGTCAGCTGAGTATCATGTGTAGTTTAATAGGATGATTTGTTGTTTCAGAGTCATCTGTCAACAAAAGCTGGAATGATGAAATGAGAGAGTGAGCGGCACTGTCTTGTCTGTAATGAATTATGCAGTGGGTCAGGGGCCTATGTTTTGGTTTCAGTCGACAGCACAAACACGGACCTCAGGTAGTACACTCATCAGTCCTGCTGTTTCTCACCATATGGAGTCAATGAACTGGGACAGCCACACACACACACACACACACACACACACACACACACACACACACACACACACACACACACACACACACACACACACACATGCACCTGCATAATCAAATTCATCGCAATACAGTAGATAGATGTGTTTAAAATGTATTCTTCCAAATAACAGTGACATATTTAACTATTAATTATACCTGTAAAGTCATAGATTATTTTCAGACACATAAGATTATATACAGATTGTCAAACATAATAGAAGCACCAAGAAATGCTGACTGCTGATCCTGTCCCCACCTGATGGTCAAAAAGTGAAACTGTTTTCTGGAGGAAAAAAAATGGTCCAAAATCAATTTAAATAACATTTAAAAAATAATTTAAAATTCCCTTGTTGCCCTGGCAAAACAATTAAATACAAAAAACAGTTCACACTGTATTGGTCAACCTTTTTTTTTTGTACGTCTTCCAGTGTTTAATTGCATGAAACCATTCACAGACAAATTAAATTAGATGTTCCCGCCTGTACAATTGAGATATCTGTTACAGATGATGTGCCGTATAATGAATACCTAATTTATGTAATTAGACCATTAAGCATAATCCGAGCATATGTTGTCAATGCCCTGAGGTCTTCTTCCAGGTAATTCCCTCTGATGTCACCCAGAAACAACTAATGGGCCGGGCTGCTGCAGGACTATAATCCCATTGTTTGATAAAATAAACACACACAAAAACACATTAACCATTCTTTGATTTCGAACATATAAATTCTGCATTATTCTGATTTCCTTTTCTGGTAAAAAAAAGAAGAAGAAGAAAATCATATTCAAGAGGGCATTTAAAGATGGCCTTTAAATAGTGTGAATATTCCGTCATATGGGCTAAATGTGCCATTGAGGAGGTTCTTGTGAGAGCCCTCTGTCTGCTAATTAATTGTCATTCTGCTGAATATTCATACCTTATCATCAGCGCGTCCTTAATTGCACCGTAAAACATCTCTGGGGGCTGAAATCACCACGGACTTAATTAGCAGCACAGGCCTATTGGAAGGGTTTGAGAGTCACATTTTGCAGCAGACAACAAGGTGTATCTGTTTTCACGGAACGTGTGTTTTAATAAAAAAAAACAGGTAGATAACAAATCCCTTTTAAATCTACAGGCCTGCTTATGATAATCTGCGTGACAAAAAATAAAAATTGCGGGAATTTACACTCATAATTAACTTGGATTATAAATGTTTGTTTTAATGATGCAAATTTGTTCACCTCTAGCAATGATTTGTCTATTTATAGGTTGGTTAGTGGCCTAAATATACATTGCCTACAGTTAGCAACCTGCTCTGAGAACCTGCAAGGGAAAGTAGAAAAAACAAAAATCACCTAAAAATATATTTTCGTGCCAAGAAAAATGTACACCTACGTTTTCAATACATTAAATAAAAAACACAGGTCAAATGTGGATTATGTTTCTGCTATTAATTAATATTGACTTAAGCTCATCCCTTGAATAAATGTTTTCCTGTGTAATTACCCTCAGCTTTAAATTTCTCTTAATCGTTCCCTGAAAGCAGATTTTTCCCTCTCCGTAGGTCTGGGTGGCAGCATATCTCAACTCGATTCAGTGTGACAATATTGTTTGGCTATCATTCGCTGCTTTAGAATGAATGGCATCGATCCTCTTTTAACAACATTTGTTTCCTATTGTGTTCGGGGGTGCAGCAGAGGAGGGCAGACGTGTGAAAGTGGCTGTTTGATTCTCTTTTTCATCCCCATGACCTCAGCTTTTGTGTCTCGTCACCCTGGGAATGTCACGCCTCACTACTCTACTTTAAGATGTTTCAGAAAGTGCCCTTTGTTTTCGCTCCTCTTTTTTTGAAAGCTCACACAAAATTGTTCTTGGTCCCCCTCCTGCTATAAAGGATACTTCAGGCTGAGGCACGGTTCACAAGTGCAATGCAATTTGGCTTATCCCAACCTTTGTTCGGGTTTCTACAAATGACCAAACATAGTGCAGACTTGATCTACTGCTGCTTGAACTCAGGAGTTTGGGAGCAGCTAAAAACCCTATTCAGATTCAGAGTCATGGTGGTATTTTCAGTGTGTGCATTCGACGGAGACAAAAGGTCTACCAATATCCCATAACCCTGAAGCTCAAAAAGCCACACCGTCTGTGTGTGAGAGCAGAGAAAAACTCTGCTCTGTGGCTCGGCTGGTTAATGCGAGTGTTGCAGGTTAACTTGGAAGGCACTAACTTGGCGTGGCAGCAAGTTAGCAGTGCAAACATGAACAAATAAAAGAGACAAAGATTAGCCTAGTCATTTCAAGAGTATAATGTAAGATTAAGCATCATGCGTAAAATTGCTGAATGGTGGAATTCAAAGGATTTTCATCCTTCATTGTTTGCAGAGCGATTTGTATCAGCACATATTAAACACTTTTCACAATCATATTATTTGCACGTAACCAAGTCAGTCTACCGATCTGAATTATTTGCATACAAATGGACATACTAATCTGAGTGACACCCAATACTATATGTTTTTAAAGGAATGAATAGGCTGGATGTCAGAAGATATTTGGTACTTGGCAGTGTGTTGTCATTATCCGCGGAGTTTGAGATGGGTTGACTTGGCCACTTCCTTTTGGAAAAAAAAACCTTTTCAGCTCAACATTAATGGGAAATGACAGGTGTTAAAAGCCACTCTGCAGGAGAAAAAAACTGCACATTGAAGTTTTAGACAAGACACTTGACACAAAAGATGACTTAAAATAGGCCTTTTATTAAATAACGTATAGTATAAAATGATTGACTAAAACTGAATAATTTGTATGGAATGGTCCTTTTTTCGATATATTTGTTTGTATTAGTTCAGGCTTTCAGGCTGTTACACAGTGCTTATAGCACGGGGGAAGCTCTTCTTCAGCCTGCCTCGGTTTCTGGGTGAAAATAGCTCTGTGTCCCCCGCAATGCGATTCTTTTCGTAATCCGTCAGACTGGTGATGGGGTGCATTGTGGATTTATGGGGGGAAATTAGCATAAATTATGAGCAAATCTGCGTGTGTGTGGTCCCAGGCATTGCAAACCCTCCAAGCGGAAAGGTGGCCCTGGCCAAAAGCTTGAATAGCAATAGCTCAAAATAGGCTTCCCATTTGGTTTTCACATTCATATAATTGACTTATGGATATTTTATACAGTTTTCACCACACCATCCTCAAGGGTTTATTTGCATTTCTGAAGTACTTTTGGATCTTCTTTACATAAACACAATAGACCTGATTGCCTCATGAAGTTTCAGTTTGAACAGCGTTGTTTGCATTGTGTTGATGTTTTCATATCGTCTACTTCCTCTGCGCAGCTCTGGGCCAAATTAGCTGAGAAAAACTAATAGTAGGCTCATCAACAAACTTGCTCATGGCAAATTATTTTGTATGGCACTTCGTAAACAATATCAGGCTGTAATTAGAGGGGAGCGATATGCATTTGAATAACATTTTATCTGTTAGATTATTGTTCACTCAAATCCACATCATAAAAACGGTAAACACTTGAAAACTGCACTCATTGCATACACCACTGCACAAACAGTGTTTTTAATAAATCAATCCTTATATCAAATATAATACACCTGCCTTAACAACTCCACAAATAGTTAAAAGCACATTTTATCACATACTATAATTAAATTACAATATGCCGACTTTTTTTTTCGTTTCCGTTAAAATATATATTTGTATTGTTATTAGCTATACTGTTAAGTCCGCTGAAAAAGTATTAGCGCATACCTTCACACACTGAGTGCCATCGCAGTTCAATTCCGGTTGCCGAGCCTTTTCACCCCTTTTTCTGTCTTCAAATGGAAATGATTTCCATTGGCCCAAGGTGTCCATGTAAATAGGTGTAAATGAAACCAGATTATGCCTTCCTCCCAGCCCCCTCCTCCCATGGCAATTGTCATGTGATAGCAAAGAGGTGGCACATTAATGGAGCGCCTCTACAGGGGTCTTTTCTGCTCATGTCACTACATAAAACTATCAGATGGTTAGAGGAAGGCCATGGAGGCATCCACTTAGCTCGTCTTATCAAGGACGCCAGATGAAGTCTATTCAGCTCTGCTAGCGGGACAAGCTGACTTACTTTGCAAGCAAGACTTACAGCAGCCTTCCCTCCATAAATGTGCAACGTCCGCCCGCCTGCAAACTGCAGAGGCGCTCAACCTGCCTGTTTTACGCACAACGCAACTCCAGCCTGAGCGGCATTGCAACTTTTCTCCGTGGTTGTTTTCATGAAGAGCGGGAAGCTTTCGTCAAGGAACTAAGGGAGACTACTTTTTTTAATTGCTTTTTTTGAAAATATCGAGGATGCCTCGCCCTGGAAGAAACACGTACAGCGACCAGAAGCCACCTTACTCCTACATCTCCCTCACAGCCATGGCCATCCAGAGCTGCCCGGAGAAAATGCTGCCTCTCAGTGAAATTTACAAGTTCATCATGGATCGATTCCCTTATTATAGGGAAAACACTCAGCGGTGGCAAAACTCTCTGCGACACAACCTGTCCTTCAACGATTGTTTCATTAAAATCCCCCGGCGCCCGGATCAGCCAGGCAAGGGCAGTTTCTGGGCTCTGCATCCCAGCTGCGGGGACATGTTTGAGAATGGAAGTTTCTTGAGACGCCGCAAAAGGTTCAAACTGTTGATGTCCGCCGAACACTTGGCCCAGAGTAAGCAGTCGGATGCTGCCCATTACCTCCAGCAGCAAGCCAAGCTGAGGCTGAGCGCCCTGGCAGCCTCTGGCACACACCTGCCCCAGATGTCATCTTACAACCTCGGAGTGTCTCAGTCCTCAACTTTTAAGCATCCATTCGCCATCGAGAATATCATCGCCAGAGAGTACAAGGTCCCGGGAAGCCTGGCGTTCTCCACCATGCAGTCCATGTCTGCCGGGTACCCGCTGCACAACCAGCTGACGACAGCCTGGCCCCACATGTACAACACCAGCATGATTGACACGGTGGCACCGATCTCCATGGCGAGCGGCGACTATAGTGCCTATGGCATGCCCCTCAAGTCCCTGTGTCACGGCGGACAGATTCCTTTGCCCATCAAGCCCACCCCGACCTCCATGGCCGGCTTCTCGGCGTTACCTCCACACATCCCCGCGTTTCTATCAAACTCTCCGCAATCTCTGAGCCCCACGTCCCCTCAGACAGCGACGAGCCAAAGCAGCCCTGCGACCCCGAGCGAGACGCTGACGAACCCCTCCACACTGCAGTCTGTGGCGGTGCACTGACCAGCGGGACTCTCCCAGTAGAACCAGCTGCTGGCCGGCTCGCAGGCCGCTTTACCAATCCCAAAGTTTATATTTTCTGTCGTCGGAAACTATCAAGGCGAGTTGCAGTTGCATCTCGAATTATTTGTGTATGTGTTGAATGTGTCGCTTTAAATTGTGTCATAGAAGTCCAGCACAGGATCGCACAGCGAAGTATTGCTCTTGAAAATATAAATTATTTGATAGTTCTATTTTTCAGTTTATTGTGAAATGTGAGTGTTGAAAGTGGAGTTGTTTTGGCACCATCAACTCTCATTTTAAGTGCTTGCAATTCCCGTGGCAGTTTTTCAGTTTTATCAAATAGCAACACTTTTGCACCGTTTCTGTGTGACCACTGTAATGTCAATGAAATTGCGAGGCAATGCCTGGGTTTTTTTTGTTTGCTTTTTAATACTGGAATGATGGATAAGGGTATACCAAATAGGAATAGGATTTAGATTTGTTCTTACCATCACTGTACATAAAAGAAAACAAAATGAGTTATCAAATCTTTTCAAAATGGAAAAGTAGTATGAGACTTCCTCAGAATGCAAGATGTGAATATTGCAAATAACTGATACTGAAATGTTGTAAAATGCACTTTTTAGTTTTATGTTTTAGATATCTATTTTCCAGAAAATGTTCTGTGAAGAATTTAATTTAAAAGGCTGTGGTGACCATGTGTATCAGATGCTGTACATTTGTACTTTTGTTTTTTTTAGGTAAAGCATGCATTCTAAAAAATTGTGTTGGTACTGTTGTTGTAAATGTTGTTGTTTGTTTTTTGTTTGTTTATTTTTTGCAAGCATGCGTGCTTTCGAAAAGTGTGCAAATCTGCAATGAATTGGAAAAAAATGGTCATCGAAATATTTTCTCATTAAAAGTGAAGTAAACAATCAAACGTGTTTCTGGAGGTTTAATGTAAGACACTGCCACATATTATTATTATTTGTATTATTACTATTTATAGGTCTTTTATATAAACAGGTGCTATTCAATTGGCAATATTTTTTTTAACTCTTAAAACTTTTGAATTGTTAAATCTTAATTAAATGACAATATTAAGTAAAGCAAAAAGAATGCTTACTTGTAAAAATTAGATTTTAATTGGTCCTGTTTTCAGACCTGTATGAATTGAGAGTGTGAGAGTGGCTCAGCAGCAGTGGGAGAGAAATGAATCGTGCAGTCGATTAGGATGCATGGAGTTGCGATGCCATGGTCACAGCGCAGACAACTGGCCTCATTCATCACTCTGTAGGCTAAACACAATTAAGCCCAATAATAAATAAACATTTTAAAACATGCAAACAATGTCCGAATTTATCTTGCTGCAGATTTTTGAAAATACGAAAAATAAATACGTGTCATGTTTTTCCGACTACAAAAATCGTGGGAATTTTATTCAACAGGTTAAAAAAACAGACGAAAAAAAAAAAATGTAAACACATTTTATAATATATTTTACATTCCTTTATTCGATTTGTTTGCAGGATTAAAAAAAATAACGCGCTTTATTTGCCTCCCCCTATAGAAAGCAACAGCCTATTTCGGGGTATTAAACAAATACATTAGAATTCCGTCACTTTATGCAATTGAGTAGATCAAATAAAGGGTCTCGGCCACTTCATTCTCCCTCATTCACTTGAATTGAAAGTGCAAAGAATAGCAAACTTAGACTGGGCCACCAATGTAGATTTAGCCTTTTTTCAGCAAGACAAAAAGACTGATTTTTTCACAAACACATTGCTGACTGGGGAACTAGGAAACGAGCTGCAAGACCCTTTTGGAATTTAAATCCACCCCTCCCCCATGGACTGTTTGGACAACAGTGTTAGTTTTTTTTCTCCCTACTTTGTGCATCTGTGTGTGTAACATTAGTCCTGACTCTGGATGATTAAATGTATTGAAACTGCAACAGCAGATTACAAGCTTTAATTTTAAATCAGATTTACATTTTTATGGTTAGGCAATTCAATTCAATTTAAACTATATTAACACACACACATAACAGTTTCATTGAAAACATTAAAAAAGAACAACATAACTACACATTTAAACTTGTGATTTTTTTTTCTATTCAATTGGAATTCAGTGTACTTGTCTTATTTGGTGTATATTGCACTCTTATAAATAAAAATGTTGATGTTATATAAATAGACAAATGTCTTGAAATAACCTGTGTAAGTCATTCATTGTATATTCATCCCAGAATGTGAAATGTAAAAATAACCAAAAGTTTTAATTTGATGTATTATGTGCTGCTCTGGAACATAAATGCAATATTCAAAATGCAACATCCTGTCGTCCTATAATAATGTTTCAAGACACAGTGCAGATGTTCCAGGGGATTTACTGAAATAGCACATCAAGGATATAAAGTCAGTTTAAAAAAAGGTTTCGGCACTCAAACATTTTAATAAACACCTTCAGCTTTTGCTCAAAAGGTTAAACTGAGCCTATTAATTAAAACCCTAAGAGAAAAAGTGGGAAACCACAGCTAACAGACGGGAGAGAGAGGAAAACTCATATTAGACCTCATCATAGCAAACTACTTGGAAACCTGATACGTTGAAATTACAATAATTAGTGTGGAAACAGTTTTTTTCTTAATAAAACCTTTAAACAATACTGTTTCTGGCACTATCTTTTTTTAATCTGCAAATCATTTTCTTGTAGATTCTGCCTATTATACAGATGATTGTTTCCATATTTTCAGTAGCAACAGTATGAACTTAGTCGTCCAAGTCTGCATTGTCCTTGTTCCCTCAACTATGTTCCACTTAGACAAAGAAGAAGGTCATCTTAGGCAGGAGATGAAATATAGACCACATGCAAAACCTCAATGTTGTAGTTTAATTAAAATAATTCATTAAAGTGGAGGCCCAAGGTAATTAGCATGTATAATTTATGATTTGCTTAATGCATGCAGGCAGTGGCCTCCGCAATAAACTCAACTTAACCTCAAGTAGGGAAGTGATACGGACAGGGTGCTGTTATTTACTGTGCGTTTATTGTTTGGATATTTGTCAAAGACAGAGCACATGTTTCATAAACCCTGGCCGTTGTCTGCTTCCATGCACACAAACAACTTATTTGTTTATGAGTTTATCTTGTGGATTTATGCTCACTCATACAAGGAGCTGTCAGGTCTGTTGTGAGGGAAAGATATTGGGAATTGCCTTCCCTTTTTTTCCCTTTTTTGCCGTACATTGTCACGGTTATACCAATGGTCACTAGTGTTGAAAAGTGGTTTATTTTGTTTCTTTGAGCTGACAGAATGAGGACATGGATAAACACCAAATGGTTGCTCTGCTCCTCTCCCACAGCAGACTGTCAGCACTGACTGAGAAAAATAATCAGTGATAGACAAAACTTGCATTAATTATGCTCGGCAAATGTGTCAATCTTTGACAAGCCTTTTGACATTTTGAAACATGGCTAGTGGCTATATTTTATTATTTCTTGCAAGTGCTTGTAGTTTTTTATTAAAACAACAACATAAAACAAATATTTTCAGATGGTGCTATGGACCTAGTCAACTGATTTATTTCAGTGGAAAATAGAGCAACGCTGTATTCTCCTGACGGGAAAGAAGCAACTAAATGCATGCTATCGTTCTTGAAACACATTTCAAACATAATACACCACCTGCTTGTAGTAAATGTTACTATTCATTAGATACTTTTACTGATCATATTTCTGTTTTATTTGAAATCACAATAAAATGTTAGAGCATGGTGATTTTATCCTGCAACTGAATTCCTTATGGTGCACATCATCATTATGAGACTCCATGGTTAAGGCATCAGTCATAATGTGTGACTCCCAGGTTAAATACATTACATGGCTGTTTCAGGGGGCAAAGGTCAGGTATAGTGGGCAGCTGAGGGGAGAGGCAGGGGGATTCAAGGCTGGCTCAGCCAAACACCCATGTGTGCATGAAATTAGAGTGTCAACATCTGATTCATGCTGCTGGGTGGTGACTGTGAAACAAATTATGTCAGCGGGTGGCAGCGGCAAAAATTCCACTCAGCTGCTGCAGACGTGGGAATTACAACAGGCCGTAGATTCTGTTTTATAAATGGGATGACACTTTTTTTATATGATAAATTTAAGGATTTTCAGTTCATCATCAAGTTCATCACAAAATGAGTGAAAATGCATTTTCAAAGAATTGTGTTTTCTTTGTTTTCTCGAGCTGCAGAACTTGATATTTAAACTCTCTGTAGGAAGTGGGAGTTGTAAAGAAGATCTAATGGTTCGAGGAAATGGGATGATAATTGTTATTCAAGATAAGGATGCATATTGTCCAGACACAGTGTGACACATGAATGAGTTCCTATTCTCTGACATGTCAGCAGCATTGAAAAGGTTATAATAGAAACTTGTTAATTCTATAGATGTCATTTTGAATGTCTAAATACATTTTAAAAAAGTAATACATTATTTTGGGGTTCTGGGTGTTTCTTATTTTTTCTAAATTTTTCTGTGGAGTTTACCAAATCTGTAGGATACTGGTTTCACAGTCTAGGGACTTTCACTGACATATTTTCAGTGAACAATATGTAATGTAACACTTTTCTATCTCTGAACACATATGGATCTCTTGTTATTGGATCCTGAGTGTGTGTAAGTGTTGGGCGGGTTTAGACATGTGAGCCAGACAACCAACAGAAAACTAATACATCAAACTTCAGGCTCCAACACTGTCAAACTCAACCTCCAGCCATTACATCTGACACACAGGTTCTTCTTCTTAACTTCATCGTTAAAGTGGGGTCAGCAAATGGCTAAAATCACTAATGTCTGGACTTGTTTCCTGGCTGTTTACACATTGGGCAACAGTTTCTTATTCTGTTGTGATAATTGCTAATCAATCTATTTCAAATCCCCAGTGTTTCATTTGGCATGCCTGTGAAAGGTGTGTTCTGAGAGCAAAAGTGCTCGCTCTGTTTCAGCTTGTCATGTGTAGTCTACATCTGTTGCACTTGCAGTTTATCAGATTAGAAACTTGTGTTTTAATTCCAACAAGTCCCGCGGCTACAGTTTGACCAAATGCTTGTTCAGGCGGAACCTCAGTGTGGGAAGCAAGCTTAATACAAACATGCTGCTTTAATGAAGGTACTTAACAGATTTGACACCACAATGTTTTTGCTTCTCAAGTGCTTTAGCTCTTACGTGTTAGAACTGTAACAGATTCTGTGGATTTTTTTTAGCAGCCTGCCATTTCCCCTTTTAAATGTGGAACGAAGAGCTAATTTATCACCTGTCTTTGGGATCTTATCGTACCCTCTCTAGCCATAAACTAACACTTGCACAGGACTTCAAAGGTGCGCTAGGTAGCAGAGGTGAGAAAAGGGCCTACATCTACTTGGGGGCCAGTTCCTTCCAGAGATGAGATGGAGCTGATTAGCAGGGAGTGTGCAGCAAGCCCTGTGGGGGCAGCAGCTGGAGGAGCAGGGAGAGGTGTGAGTTTTGACAGCTCCTGTCTCTACCCTCTGGATACTGCAGGGTCAGGGCACCCACAGCGGGCCGGGTCTGCGCCGCATAGGAAGTCAGCAGTAATTGCCATTCAGCCAGTGGGACAGAAACAGTGGCAACAATAACCAGTGAAGAACACACAGCCCGTTTCCTCTTTGTCTTCATGTGTTTGAGGAAGGATGCTACCTCCTCTCTGACAGAACAAAGCCGCAATAAAGTTCCCACAATCAAATAGCGTCTTGCAGAAGCAACAGAGGAAGACGTTTCATTCTGGTGTAGCTGCGCACTTCTCCTACCCCAGAGAAGGTCCAGATGGCTGCTTGTTATTGCATAACAAGGCTGCATTGTTTTGTTAATGTAACTTCATCTGTCTTTGATGTCATCTCATGTTGGCATGGCCAGTGTGAAAATCCCCATCAAGTGCATGATCCAGCACTACGCTCATTGTGATTGTGATAATCTCCTGCATTGAAATTCCACTTTGTTCCTTTGTTTCTTTGTCAGAGAACACAATGTGAGGTTAATTAGCAGCCACTGGTAACCTCTGCGTTCCTGGATCCTTCATCACAGCTGAAGTGTACTCTTCACTGGGGCCACTGGCACTGACAAGACCAAACACAGGGCCTTGAGCCAATTGAAAGCAAGCAGAATACAAACGCAGAAGCAACTGAATCCCTTTCACACTAACACACAAGCCCCCAAAGTATCAACTGTAATTGTTTTCTTCACGTCATTAATTGCTTCAGCCATTGTTTCCTTTCTTTGAATGAAAATACACAGAGGATGAATTGACTAAACCAGTATACATTGATAGTGGCAGAAAAGGTTGCAGAGATACAGTTTTTCAAACATTAAAAGGCTTTAATGTGGTTATTATCTGGTTCCAATGTGTCACAGTCTAATTTTCTGTTTCTTCTGTGGTGCAGAGGCTCTCAGCCGTGCATTTATCTGTAATATTGCCCTTCCGCCACTTCAGATCTCCCCATTCCCTGGTGGTCTAATTTATGTTAAGTCACAAACCTCCCCTATGGCTGTTTTGAAATGTTCAGAATGGAGACTGTGTGCTCCAGGTTTATGCCAGCACCACAATCCCCTGTATAATTGTTCTCTATGGGAAAGCACATCTCAGTGAAACCATCTGCAAGTCCATGGGGCAGTTTCCTAAGAATGAGTGGACTTCTTAGGGGGTTCCACTGCAATCCAGTTTCTCTTGTGAAGCAAGTAATTAATTCAAATCTCAGGAAGTCAATAGCTGCCTGGATCAGAGGCACGTAGCA